TTATTGCAGATTTTAGGGCTATTTTAATGTGATTTTGGGGGTTTTTTTACCATTTTAAGTCCGATTTTCCCAGGATTTTTTTTCCCATCCGTTTTCCTGGTTGTTTTTTTTTTTTTCCTCAGAAATCCCTGGAATAATTTTGATTTTTTTGGGGATGAAGCTGTGCCAGGGGCTGGGGGAAAGATTCTTCTCCAGAGGGTGCTGGGCATGGAACACATCCCCAGGGAATGGGCACAGCTGTCTGTGCTTCCCTTCTTTTCAAAAAAAAAAAAAAAAAAAAAAATCCCATCCCAAAACTGCACCAGAGTCACCACCACGGGTCTGCAAGGGGAATTACAGAACTGGAATTGCAGAATTGGGATTGCAGAATTGGAGTTGGAATTGGAACTGGAATTGGAATTGGAATTGCAGAATTGGAATTGAAATTGGAGTTGGAATTGGAATTGGAATTGCAGAACTGGAATTGCAGAATTGGAACTGGAATTGGAATTGGAATTGCAGAATTGGAATTGGAATTGGAATTGCAGAATTGGAATTGGAATTGGAATTGGAATTGCAGAATTGGAATTGGAATTGCAGAACTGGAATTGCAGAATTGGAATTGGAATTGCAGAATTGGAATTGAAATTGGAGTTGGAATTGGAATCGCAGAATTGGAATTGCAGAATTGGAATTGGGATTGGAATTGGAATTGCAGAATTGGAATTGGAATTGCAGAATTGGAATTGGGATTGGAATTGGGATTGGAATTGGAGTTGGAATTGCAGAATTGGAATTGGGATTGGGATTGGAATTGGGATTGGAATTGAAATCGGAATTGGGATTGGAATTGGAATTGGGATTGGAATTGGGATTGGAATTGGGATTGGAATTGGAGTTGGAATTGGGATTGGGATTGGAGTTGGAGTTGGAGCTCACCTGGAACAAACCATGCCCTAGAGCTCAGCACCTGTCTGTGCTTCCCTTTTCCCCAAAATCCCCGGGTGGCCCCGGGACAGCCGTGGCTCAGCCGGGGGTGACGGGGCCAATAAATCCTCCCTGTCCCTCCTGCACTGGGACACGCCCGAGCCGGGACAAAGCGCCTTTGTGTCACCAAAGCCTGGCTTAACAGCCCCGGGGGAGGCTTAAGGCTCGGTCTTTAAATTATATAAAAGTTTATTTTGGGATAAAAGGGATATGCAGTAGTGGTGTGTCAAAAGCACAGAAATTAGCTGGGATATTTTCCATTTTCGCTTTTTCATTGCACTGTTTAAATGTATATTCGTGGACATTATATTTATTATGATTTTAGATAATTAATGTGTTTTATATCTATATAATTTTATATAGTATATGTTTTAATATAAATATATACATGTCATATAATTTTTATATTAGCTATATTATATATAATTTTATATCGCTATGTAATATATAATATATTGTATATAATGCACATAATATGTAAAATATATCTATTCATATCTATGCCTATATATGTAATATAAATTATATATTATCTATATTAGATATAGTTATATATGATCATGTAATATATTATATATAATACATTATATGTATTATGTACAATGTATAAGAGATATATAATGCATTATAATATAACATTATAATATGCAATATTATATTTATATATAATTCATTCTATATAATCAATTATAATATAGAATATAGAATATAGAATATAGAATATAGAATCTATAATATAGAATATAGAATATATAAAATTATATTCCATTATTTCTATTACATTCTATTACATTCTAATACATTATATATAGATATAAAATAGATTTATTGGAGGAGTGGGATGTTCCCAGTGCTCTTTCCCAACTGCAGGAATTCTGCTCCTGGCACGGAGCGAGGAGCAGCTCGGTGACCTCGGGGGTGACACAGCCTCTCCTCAAATGTCACCAGCAGGGAGATTTGGATAAACAGGACAAGATTGACGTCACCAAGGAGCTTGTGTCATCCTGTTTGCTCAAGCCTCCAAGATGGGAAAAGGAACAATTTTGGCTCCACGGTGCTGCTGAGCCCACACCCAAAAATGCCAGAGGGGTGAGAGGAGGCTGAGACTGAGAGTTTGTGTTTTAAAACATCGATTGTGTCTGACAGCTCATGCACGACCGACTGTGCCAGGGGGAGAGCGACAGCCCAGCAGGAAATGCCCTCCACTTGCACCAGGGGCAGTTTAATTAAAAGATTAATCAAGATTTGCCCTCCACTTGCACCAGGGGCAGTTTAATTAAAAGATTAATCA